TTCAAACAAATGTCGATCTATTTTCCTCTTCGGCTCAAAAAAGGGAGTATTTAATAAAAAGATCTTTCGTTTTTTTTTTTCTCGAGAAAAAAAAATTTCAGTTTCCCTTTGAAATTAATCAAATTTATGCGCAACGCGAGGAAAGATGTTTGTAGTTCAAGAGCTCATTTTATTTTGTCACAAAGCATTGAAAACGCGGTTAAATTGGGGACACACGAACTCCGGCCAACGTGATTTGAATATTGAGTATTCAACCGTTTGAATAGTTCTTTCTGTTAGGTACACAGACCGACGTATAATTTATGGCGTGACTGAAAAGGAGAGAGAGAACATCATGTAAAACGAGATAGAGAAAGATTGAAGTCTGACGCGATGAAAAGTTTGGTTTCTCGAAAAATCTATAGTGCTTTATAATGAATAAGAATATTAATACCATTTTTTTAATAATATACGTGCAAATACACTAATAGATCGCCATTTAATTTTAAAACTTGGTTAAATTCTATTCTTTATCATATTCTGTTTATATAAGTCAAGTTGAATTCAGAACCATGTATTTTGATAGAACCTGTACAACACGTTTGCGTGCATCTGCGAATAACTATCTTGCGTACTGAATTCAATTATCAATGACACGCGTACTCGCCGAGAAGACGTTGATGACAACATCGGACAAACACACGACAGACAGTTTAGTGACAACTATACTAATGAATACGCCAATAGCAGTCCGTATACTTCATTAACATGTATGTAAGTACAAACTATATTACAGAAATTATTAACGCGGTTCTTCGTGAATTTTTACACTTCATTATTGAGGTTAGAATTTCGATAGAAAATTAATTGAAATTGTGGAGTTTGGAACTTGGGAATTTTGGAAGTTGGAGATTGGAATTTCTTGGTCTAGGAATTTTGGAAATTTTAAAAAGAAAATTACACGGAGTGGAGTGGACGTTTTATTATAGATAATATTACACATGCATAACATAATTGGTATTTTATTTTTAAGTAAACAAAATATGGAGAAGTGTACATAATTTGTTGGAAGTTTGTTGGAAGCAGCTTTCACGAAGGAATGATATTCAAGTCTATTCGTAAGATTGATATGATCTAATCTTAATCTAATATACAATTTATTTTTAAATGAAAATGGAGAAAGCCGGTAGAGAAAAATGTTAATGGAAACGCTGATAATGCTAGACTTCCTGCGAGTGTGAGATTTTTATCTCAAGTGCAACGATGCGGACGCGACATTTGCATCTCTCCTTATTTCGATACCTAGTGATGAATAATTTCGCAATATGTTCAATTTTCTTTGATAGAAGAAGTCTCGTTACGTTTTAAACGTCCTTCGTAACAATAATTTATGATTTCATAACTCTGCCCGAGCTGATCGATATTGTGTTTAAATACGGTTCCGCTTATCGTTCGTTCAATAAAAGAACGTCAATGTATTCTAAGTTTTAAGAAAAAAGGAAAAATCAGACCAATGAATTAAACGATTGATCTAGACAAAGACTTTGGACATTAAAGGACATTTATTTCTTTACTTGTTGATTTCTCTGGAATATTCCGTCATTAGCATTGAATCTATACTTGTATATAATCACGGAAATAATATATTCTGATTGAAGACGCATGAAAGATTGAGATTAATAGATATCGTTTGAAGATGACTTCATTACACGATGTTAATAAATATTCATTTTCATTATTTTTTACTGTTTTTCTGTGTTCTTCGCAGAAGAAGATTCTATTCAATGCTCGTTACATTCAATTTCAATACGCCGTTTGTTGATTTTACAATTATTAATGTAACTATTAGTTCTTTTATTACGATAAATCGCTTAATGTACCTGATAAAGTGAATCATTTCACAACTAACGCAACACGCATCATCTCCAAACGACACTAACCACACGGTCCATTACGTAGCCGATAATAAAGTGCCCTTAATACCGACACTCTCGTGCACAATCGCAAGGTCGCAGCCAATCGCGTTCGTAAACATACTCCAATTTGAAATCAAATGGAAAACGAGAAAACAGAGCCAGCGGGCATCGATCACTGTACACGTATACACGGTGTACCATTACCATATATACCAGTGACAAGTTGAAACTCGTCCGATCAGGAAAGAGCAACCTGGGATTTTTTGTCCCACCGAGCTCTCGAGGAGACGAGGTTGCACGCAAACCGGGACGCGGTAAGGGGAAAAGAGGATGTATTTGAGCAAATCATCATGAAAATGACGATATTACAGTGGCTCACGAAGATATTTATACACCCGCTGTACATCTTGAAATAACAACTGTCATTATCATATTGGAAAACTTGAAGAGAAAAGTTACTGCAAATGTACGTATTCCAAAAGTAAAAAACTTAGTTGAAAGCTATATTTAACAGTGCGTGCAGTTTAATGATTTTTTTCTACAAAACGTAAATTTTAAAAATTTAATGCCTTTCCAGCTTAATCTCGCAATTTTTAAATTCGCATCAAGCCGTTTCATCGCAGCAATGAAATTTCGCTTCGTTCAACACACACACACACACACACACACACACACGTAACAGCTGGAATATGTTGGTGAGCCACTGTATATATTTTCGCAAACGGAACGCGAAACCGTAATTAGTTTCAGGTCAGAAAAGGTCAGAAGGAAGCATTAATCGAGACTAAAAGGCTTTTTTTCGAGCCCGCATAATTAGAAGGCGACACCGCAATATTTCTTTGGCGACGCATCGCGCATACGATACGAAGCTTGTACATACATACGCGTGGCGGCGATCATTTTTCGCAGGCCACTCGCTCTCTGGCCTGAATTACACACGCGCGCGTGGCCCTCCACGAAACACCAACGCTGCTTTCACAGCCTGTTATTTTTTTTCTTCTTCTTCTTACCAGCGCAACGCGTTGCCACCATTCCGCATACGAATCACGGTCAGCCTCTATTTTCGACGAAAGT